GTCACGTATGTCAAACTCGCACGTGCCAAGTTGGCATGAGATGAGAGTTTAGACGAGCAAACCCCAACCCCATCTTCCGCCCATTTTCCACACTCATTTTCCAGCGGTCTGATCTCGCTTTGTTATCAGGGAGTGACCTGAAATCGGAACACAAGCTCTCCCGCAGATATTCCATCTCACTATGTGGAGAAGAGCAGTGTCTTCTCACCTAAAAACCGTAGCTGCCGCTGCCGCCGCGGCCTGCCGATCCGCCTCTCGCACGCCGCCACTTAGATTCAAATCCTACATTTATCCTTCCGTCTCCGTTTCCATACTCAGTCGTCATTTCGCCTCTGAATCAGGTATCCAGAACCCTAATTGTCTGCTCAGATCCTTTGTGATTACTCTGTTATTGTGTATTTGTAATGTATTACTGGTGATTATATGGATTGATCGCCTTTTTTGTTTTTTTATGTGATTGACTTTTTTTTTTTCTTGAATTATGTGGATTTGGTTGGTTCTGTAGCGGACACTTCTGTGAAGATGAGTGTTGAGGACATAAATCCTATTGCCACCGGACACGAGCGCGAGGAGCTTGAGGCTGAAGTCCAGGTTTTTTTTTTTTTTTTTTTTTTTTTCAAGCATTGTTTAGTTACTTAGAAAATTAAATAGAATTGAATATCTCATTAAGATTGAATTCATACTTTTTTTTGCATTTCAGAGATAAAATTGAGTTTATTACTCTGTAGGTTTATGATTACGTTATGTTCTTTTGTTGATTGAGTGGTGGCTAAAATTTTGACTGCTTCTAATTGTTTTGCTTAGGGGAGCAAAATTCTTGAAGATGTAAACAATCCTGTTGGTCCTTTTGGCACAAAGGTTTGTTCATTTTATAATCAAACATTTGTAAAGTTTGGTCAACTAATTCTTATATTTAAATTAGTGGATTGATTCTATTGTTTTAATTCTAATTTCTTTGATGGATGTTTCTGTTTGGTTTGGCAATGGCATTAACATGTGCATTATATATTGACTCATTTGTGGATTTGAGTACTGAATATACAAAACTTGTCTTACATAAATTTGATGCATCCTTTCAATTGATATGCTAATTCCGAAGATATATTAATTTTCATCTGGCAATGGTACATGCGTTATCTTTTCATTTTCATTTCAGGGTTTTAAAAAATAACATTCAGAAGTAATATTAACTTAAATTTATCATCATTCTCCAGTTGTTTAGTCTGTATTGTCTTAATAAATGAAATAGAGTATCTGTTCCAAGTGTTCCCTTTTCTTCTCTTCCTTTCCTTCCTATAGATACTTTTGAGAAGTCATCACTGAAGAATGTGAGTGGCCAGAAGTGGGCATGGTCAGTTAATGCTGTTGTATAAGTTCAGATTTTTGGTTTCTTTACATTTAGAAAATGTCACTGTGTTTGTGTCTAAAGATTTTTATTATAAGCATAGACAGTTAATATGGTGTACTTTTAATCTTTTTATTTTACCATAGTTTTGCCACTTCTTGAAACAAGTTATCATACATATGAACAAAAGCGTATGTATAAATATAATTTACTTACATGTAAGTATCAATCAATATACATATAAATATTAAGGTAAAGATATGATTTGTTAACATCTTTGTTCTTAGTCAACAATTATCTTTAGAAACATTAATATCCAAGTACTTTGAGATTGGTTACATCATGGCATATTTAGCATATTCTGAACCATATCAGAAACTCCCTAGGGGAAAGCCGACAATTTTGAGCTCTAGAGTTCCAAGGTGGAGGTCTCAAGTTTGAACCTTGGGATGGGTGAGTAGGGATTTGATCCTTTGGAAAGGGGATGGTTGTTCCTTGCATAGCCAACATTTAGACAAACTTTAGAAGAGAAAGAAATGTATCAAAAGCCTTAATTGCTCATATTGGCCAGCATGGTTAGTTGTTATTTGTGTCTTTCAGTTTTAGGGCATTTGGATAACATGGGTATCTACACCTTTGGCCCAACTTGCGAACTGCCCTGTCCACAAGTATCTGGTAAGTCTCTACCTTCAAGGGTGGTGGGTGTGATCTATTGTAATTGTTTGCACCTAAATGGCATAGGGGGGATTCGAACCTGCATTTCCAACATGGTTCGTATGACTCCTTAACAACTTGAGCCAATCCCAAAGGATTATTTTAGGGTATTATGTTCTTCCCTTTTTTCTAATATCTTGATTATTAGTTCTTAGGCCATAGTGCTAATTGGATTGAAAGAGTGGTATTTCCTTTCTCTTTCTTTTATACACAGAATGCTCATTGCTCTCACATAGGCCTTATGGCTTTCTAGTTATATAAGATTGTCTAGCTGACAGATTTCCCTAACTTATTAGCATGATTTACTCATTGGCAAGTAATTCTGAGTCTGAGAATTGGTACCGACTATGCTTGACAGTTTCTCTAACTTCTTAGCATGATTTAATCATTGGCAAGTAATACTGAGTCTGAGAATTTGTACTAACTATGCTTGTTATATTTATTTGTATCGTTCATTTAAACTTAAAGCAGTAGGGTTAGGATATAGCTTAAAAGTATTGGGTATATTCTGATCCAAAGCATGTTGTTTTTGATATGTGTTAAACTCATAGGAATGTGGATTGGAAGTTTTCAATTGCATTTGTTGAATCTCTTATTCAGCATGATTCTCAAATAATTTGATGCTAGTCAATTATTTAAATTTGTATATTTCGTTTATCAGTATTTTTACAGCTATGAAATTTAGGCATTTGTTTTTGTGGAATGGATTCCCCCACCCAAAAAGGGGCAAAAAAAAAAAAAAAAAAAAAAAAAAAAACAGAAGAAATCAATAAGACCTTGGTCTGTATGCAGTGCTTATATATTGTGACAGAATCATTCTTTGCCTTGGTTTTCACATTAGATTAAACCTATCTTGGGATTTGGGAATTATGTTTTATATAATTAGAAGAATGACATCTGCTATGATGGTGGTTAATGTGCTGATGCTTCTTTTGTTCATTTTATTTGCTTACAGGAAGATCCTGCTGTTATCAAATCCTTCTATGACAAGAGAATAGTTGGATGCCCAGGAGGTGACGGTGGTAGGTTTTCTCTTCTTTTTTTCTACCCCTTTAATTCCAGTTTTCCATGTATGCTTTACTGATTTATGAATGCTTTTGCTAAAACTAAATACCCAGTTCATTTGATTGATCATCTGTAAAATGCAGAGGATGAGCATGATGTTGTCTGGTTTTGGCTGGAGAAAGGCAAGCCACATGAGTGTCCAGTGTGCTCACAGTACTTTGTGGTAGGTTGAGTTTGCACTTGCATTGATCACTTACTCTTTGGTGCATGATGTGGAACTCAAATTCAAGTATTGGCTTCTCTGCTCATTTTTGGATCCATATGCAATTTATGCTTTTTCATTAGCTTATATTTGCTTAATGCAAGAACTTGGAGAAGCTTGTTTGGTCATAAACTAGCTGCATGCATCAAAATTGCTGGTGGACTATTATCAGCTAACATCTAGATATTTACCATTTTAAAGTTGTGCATTGTTTCTTTGGAAGGAGATAGCTGATATGGTTGATGCTATCAAACAAAGCTCAAATCTTATGTGTGCTACACAATATATCGGATTGATTATTGAAATGAATCAGAATGACCATATTGCTTGTGTCAAACACTCATTGCACGTATTAACTTCTTGTCCTTGTACTTGTTCAGAAGCAGAAAATGCAACCAAGTATTTTATCAGCAGTTAGAGAATTTTACTGAGAGTTTTGTTACCATTTGACAGTTGGAAGTAGTGGGCCCTGGAGGACCTCCAGATGGACATGGCGACGATGATGATCATCACCATTGATTGTTTTAACCATCTCGTTTTCTGTTGGAATAAAATCAAGGAAGATGAGACAATGTCCAATATACAGTGCACCTTCAAAAGTTGAAAAGCATTTTTCTAATGTCATGTTTGTTTTCTATTTTCTCCCTTGGTTCTTGTGGTCCATTGCTTTTGCTTAGAGTATCACTTTTTTGGTTATTGAGACAGCGGTTGGTCATCTTTTTGGAACCCTGGATCTTATTAGGTTAACTATAAGGCACAGCCAAATAAGTGATGGCTACTAAAATTCTTTCATGAAGCTTCGTGGTGTTAGTTTTCAGGGATTCTCGGTAGAACCCTTTTCTTGCTTTTCACAGGTTGATTCTAAATTGTTGGTATTCTGACACATGTTATTAGTATCTCTCACGTTCTTTTTTTCTTTTATTTGCTGCCTTTCTGCTGGTTTCGGAGATTATGGAGTGAAAACACGTGTCAAAATGGCTATTATTTTATTGCATTTAATGATCAACTATGAAATAGGAGATCTTATCCCCAAGGGACTGTTACAGTGCTTGTCTTGATGCTCTTTTATGTAATAATTAGTAAATATAATAATTACTAAATATATAAGAAATAAAAATATAATACTAAAACCGTACTAAACGGAGGGTTGTCGTGGTTCATAGAAATATAGAATCATGTTAGTAACAAGTGAATGCTCGGTGTTAGTGGTGGAAGCCTTTTCTTCTATTTGACTATACTTGCATTCATAAGGCACCGGCAGAACGAACCAAAACAAAAGTTCCCTTTGCGTGTTTCTTTGAAAAGTAGAATTAAATTTTGTACAGCACAACGATGCCTCACAATAAAATCATGAGATAAAACATCAATGTCATTCTAATTGCGATCTGGCTTTTGCATGCCAAAAGATTATGAATCAAAAGTAACAAAAGCATTTAAAATGGTCTCAAAAATCAAAGAGAATTGATTCTAAAATTCCTTTCACTGTCTTACCAATAATGAGGAAGGACCAACGGCTTCCATTTCATTTAAATAGATGCTGTAGGTGCGTATTTTGGCATACTATTGTTCTTTTTAACTTGAGGGGTTGGGTTGAAATAAGTGTTATTTTGTAAACTAAGTTTATAATTCAATTATTGAAAAATTAATTTTTTTTAAATGTAATAGGGTGCACCCTTATGACCTCTTAAAAAAGATTATTCTCAAAGTATACAAAAATTAACTCAAAATCCCTTAAATGTTCAAAAAAAAAGAAAAAAAAGAAAAAAATATTGTTCCTTCTAGATCAATCCTCGAATACACACAAACTTAAGAAACTTTTTAGGTATCATTTCCCCTAACCATCATACCACGTCCATCTAGAAAATGTTTGGAACCAATCTTTAATATGTCCATCATTATCTCTAATGTAAAGGAGGGAAGAACATAACCAAAAATAAAAAAAGGCATGAAAGGAATTTGGCTCAATTTAGGAATTAAAGAAAATTGTTATTGTTTTCAAAATGCTTTTTCAACATTCCACATTGGCAACACGCATTGTTGGTTCATTACCTATTTTCAAAAAAAAAAAAAGGAACACGCATTGTTGGTTTAGAAAACTAGAGGCTTAAATTATTAGGGGCTTTGAACTTTAAAAAGACCAAATTTTGATGTTTATTGGTAAAGGATCTATACACTAATGTACAGTAGTTTTTTTCCCCTGATCAGCAGATCTATATACAGTAGTTTGTGTGCTAGTATTTTTTTCCTCTTATTAAGTGTGTGCCCTTAGGGATTCATTTGCAGGCAACACACCATTAAATTGGTTGCACTGATTAACTTTACTAAAGTTTTCCTTACTAGAACCTTTTTTTTTTTTCTCAGTCTTCTTGTCTATTTGAAGAGGAGGAAGAAGAATAAAAGCTTCTCTCCTTCATTTCAATTAAATTAAGTGCTCAATATGTTCTCTCTCTCTCTCTCTCTTTTTTGGGATATTAGGCTGCATAATGGGATGTGGTCACATGTCTTACAATTAGAACTTAGAACTTTTTATTTTTGTAAGAAAAAAATTATTACTAAATTATTTAGGTTAATAACAATTCTCTTAATATATCTTATTCAAACATATCCAACAAGCTAACTTAATTATCCCTTCCTTTCACTTCTTTAATCCACTTTCACTACTTAATTTATTTTTCGATCCAAATTATGATTGACATAAAGAACCCCTAGCCGTATAGGCTTTCTATTTGCTTCCCAACTCGTCAAATCCATTTATCATCCTAGAGAAAATATTATGCCTTTTCCACTCTACTCAAAATCTTCAAAAATGTCTTTCATGAAGGGAGAATTTTCTTCCACATTTGCGTATTACAGCTTAGCAACAGTTCTACATCATACGAGGAGAAGAATTGCATAGAAGAAAAAGAAAATTCTTCTCCTCCTCAATTCACAAAATCTCACTAGTTCAGTTATTTAATGCTTTTTTCTTTTGTATGTAAAGTTTAGGGATTGAATCTTAAACTTGTGGTTAAGAATACAAATAACCCTATCACCAAACTATATGACTGATGGTAGTTGTTTAATGCTATTGTAATAGGAGTTGAATTGAATCAATGCTTCTTCCACCATGCATGACCATTAATAATTCAAAAGATAGTTTTATATCTTGTTTATCCCTTAATCTACTTCTTTAACCCACATTCACACATTAACACCATTTTTTTTTTTTAGGTGAAAATGAGGGATAGTGGACAGACCTAATTTACCTAACTTTGTTCATGGTTCAAGGATATCTTAAGTCAAGACATTAGCCTTAGCTTTACTTTATTTTCAATATGGTTGCGTTAGCTAGAATCCTTGATGTCTTCTGCAGAATCTTTATTTATTTATTTATTCTTTTCAACCACATTTCGGTTTGCTGATGAACTAGAGTGGAAATGATTTGTCAGTTGATGAGCTGCACTTGGGTTTTCTCATTAAATAATTACATTGCATTGAAAGGTTTGCTTACTTTAGTTGTTTATACAAGCAAATGAGGCCACATTTAGGTTTTTTAATCTTTAAAGACAGGTAGTGCTGGAAGAATATATTTGCTTAATTGTCTGCAGTTAAATCAAACCAAATTTTGATTAAGCAAACTTCGAAAATTAGGTAATATCAAAATTCCTTATAACTAAGACATATTCTTCATTCCTCATCAAATGAATGTGGTGGGGTAAAGGAGGAGTTGACAATCAAAAAGTTGCTCAAAATTTTCTCCCCAAGAAGGACGAAAAAAATTGCTGAAAAATTGACCTTTAAAGGCTATCATCATCAGATATGCCACCATTCAATGTTGTAACCAATGGCGGCATGCCATGGCATCAGCATTTTTTCTTAGTCAACAAGTTAAATATAGAATTTAGAAAGGGTATGGCTGAAGTTGGGAGTAGGGCATGGTTAAGGCACTGTAAGCAGAGAGTGAACTGAGTGCACGTATGAGAAACAGGGATGGACAGGGATGTCATAAGTGCAATACAGATAGATTCTTCTTCTGAGAAAGCATGCATTAAGGCTGCATATTATAGGTACATGGTAGTGCACAATGGAGGTCAGGACACTGACATTCATGAATAAGAGGTCATGGTGGGTCACTGAATCTACATATCTAGATTTATATTACCTCGAATAATTGGTTTGGTCAATAAACAAGTTTGTCTCTTATTTTATCGATTAAGATTTGATTCTTCATAGTGGTTAGAGTTAAATAATTCCTTACAACTAAAAGATGACTTAGTTTAATATATACAAATTCATCACAACATATTACTCATATTATACATGCAAAACAAAAAAATTAAAAGCCTTTCTGGTTAGGCCAACTTAAGTCTTCTTCATGGACAAAATAAGATCCTTAAAAATTGAATTGCTATCACAAGATTTAAGTGAATTATTACATTTCTACCAGAAGAATCTAAATTTTAGAGTTAAGATTATGTTCATGACAACTTAATTGCACTATTAAAGATAGCAAATATAGTTAGTTGTCAATCCTAAAGTGGAAAATTAGGATATAAGAATTGTCAATTCATACTAATTAACTCCTCAAGAATGGGAAGTGTGTTTTACCTGATTATATTGAGCTAAAAAACATGGTTCTGGTTAATATTTTTGGACTATTGCTATTCAAGCAAAAACTATGGGCGGAAAGGAGCCAAAATATTAAGATTTACTTTTACACATGGTGGGTCATTTAATTTAATAATATGCATTTACTTATTGATATTACTTAAATATATCGGTGTTTTGTAGCATAATAGCATTTTACTCAATACATTTTACAGAGCATTTGATATATGCGGTGTTTGGTGGAGTTTTTTTTTTTTTTTTTGGATAATTTTTGTTTTCTAAATTTGAAAATACTTTGGAGTTATAACTTTTTTTTTAAAGGGTTTTTTTAATCTGTTCATTTAGAGTATATGTTAAGGTCATTTTTTTAGATGTGCATTAAAAATGTAAAAATTGACATTAATTTTAGTATAGTTGTTAAATAGATAAATTTAATTAAATAATTAAAATTAGAGATCAATTTTTGTTTTCTAACATAAATTTATGATAAAAATATATTTATTATACTTTTAACTTATATTATACTTTTAACTTATATTTTTAATAAATGTATTAAATTTTTTTTTTTCAAAACTTATTTAAAAGCATAACGTTTTTCTTTGGCTAAAAATTGTCTTCTCCTCAAAGTAGTTTCAAATTCAAGAAACGAAAAGTTGCTTTAAAGCAACTTCCTAGAAAAGGCTTCACCAAATTAAACACCCTCATGAACAATAAAATATAAACATATGGGTATTCTTGTATAAAAATTAATAAAGGAAAGAAAAGAAAGAGGGAGGAAAGGAAAGGAAAGGAAGGAAGAGAAACCGAAAGAAAAATATTGATGTTAACTCTATTTGAATAAGTAAAAGTGGAGAAGGAAGGAGAATAATATTTTTTTCTAATTCAATAATTTTTAAGAAATGGTAAAATAAAATATTTTAATTTTATTAAATAAATAAATAATTAAAATAAAATATATTTATTTATTTTTTTAAAAGGTTAGAAAAAAAAACAAAGAGAAATCCAGTCCAATCCCTCCATCCCCTTCATTAAAATACATGATCCAAATAAAATAATAATAATAATAATAAAAAAGAAGAGGCACCTCCCCTCACTCTCGTTCCCTCCCCTCTGGACTCCTCCAATCCAAACAGAAGCTAAGGTTTGGAAATGCGTAGGGTTAGGGCAAATGGATCAGATGAATACTTTTCAAGAGGGGATGCAGTTTTGGGGGGATAGTGTGCTTATACTTATGGTGTCCCCCACGAGTACAAGGCTATAAGCAAAAAAAACTGTTGGTGGGACTTCAGCTACCGGAAAATGTGGTGGCAAGCAACAAAGGAAGAAAGAGGATAAAGGGAGAGAAAAAGCATACATGCTTTTTCTGCTGTCTTTTTCAAAATCCAGGTTAGTAAGCTTTAGAGGTTTTAATATAAAGAAATTTCAGAATAAGATTCATATAAAAACAAGTAAATCTGTATAGAAATGTGCGTTTGTAATAGGATTTAAAAAAAAAAAAAAAAACTTAAAATGTTGAAAGAACATTCAATAATATGAGAAATTGGAAATTTGAAAGAACAGAGGAACGTTAAAACCCCAGTTCTCATTCTGTCTCTATTATTTCCATTATACCAAAATTGTTTTTTTGATGCATGAAAGTTGAAAACTTTAAACTTCCTAGGTTAATGGGTATCCATCAATCATCCAAGAATTCATAAACAAATGATTGGCAAAAGATTTTTCTTTTTCAAACTTGGATTATTCTTTCTTGTTTTCAGCAATATTCTTGCATGAGTTGTTGTGGGCTTGCTTTATTTTTTGGCCATTGCCCTAAACCACGAGAACAAATTCTTTCTATGTTGCAAATCTCTAATAGGAAAGGATGATTGTGCTATTCTCTCCGTGTATTCTTCCCTGCTGTTTAAAAGACTTTTTTCTTTTCTCACTGCCTTTACCCTTTCCTTTTCTCATGGATGCCTTCTTCCTTTTGAGTTGCTAGGTGGTTATAGACACGCTGTGTAGCTGGTTTACACCTACATGTCCTTAGTGATGCATATTCACCTGTTTTATTCCTTTTCCACACCACCCATTTGGTTATAAATAGGCTTTGTTATTCTGGTTTCTTCATTGCAACACATCTTCTCACTCTTTGTCTAGGTTGGGGTCTCTGGAGCAGTGTTTCTACCAGAAACAATGAGTTATACACAGCTTTCAATGGGGTCAGGTTTGTTGCTTTTTACTCTCTTTCTCCCCTCTTTTCATGTCAACTTGATGAGTTCATTTTAGATTTTCAGTTGCAGGGACCTGTTTTATTTGTTGTAATTAGTTGTAATCCGATTTTTGTCATTCAATTATAATGTTTCTAGTAAAATTTTCTTCTTAGACTTTATTGGTATTTGAGAAATAAACTTCAAATTGCTGTGGATTTTTTAGGTAGCAGAACCGCTAGAAGGACGTTTGAATTTGGAAGAACACATGTGGTCAGGCCAAAAGGGAAACACCAGGCAACTATAGTTTGGCTTCATGGCCTTGGTGATAATGGTTCAAGGTATTTTTGCCTTTTCCTTAGACATTGCAGTGATTTAGAATTCAGAAACCCACTTTACTTTGGATTTCAGAGTTCTTGAATCTATCACTTTATTATCAATGTTATTAATTTATGGCCAGAAGCCTGATATTAAGCTATTCATCACTTTATTGTTGAACATAAACCATTAAGCAGTGTGATTTGATCACATGGGGAAAATTTTTAATTATTTTCTTTATTTGATGCTTTATTCCAAGCTTGAATTAAACTGTTGATGAAATTATATTCCATGCTTTTAAGTACAATTTCTGTATGTAGTAGACTTTTGGTTCTATAAAGAAGAAAAGGAAGAAGTTCAAGAATGTCAACATCTTGTCATGTTCTATAATGAGGGGAGCTGGCTAAAAAAAAAAATGAATAATAATAATAATGAGGGGTCCTCCATATCATGGTGTGTTTTTCCCCATATCATGGTGTGTTTTTCCCTTTTGAGCTTCTTTTGTTGGGCTCTTGGAGGAACAAATTCGGTAGAAAGAGCACTGCCGCCGTGAAATGAGAGATTTGGTTATTTCATGTATTTTCTTTCTCTATTTAAAAGCTTTACTTTGGAAGCCATGAAAAATGCAGAGGGTATATGCCATATTCATGAAGGGGGACCATTAATTCACATATTCTCCTGCCCAATTGGGAACCATTAATGTTCTTTTTGCAAAGGATATCCCTCATTGGTTTTAAATATTGTAGATTGTTCCAGTATTATTTTCTTAATCCCAAAGTAGTAATAAGACATCTGAGGTTCAAGTAAAACTTTTTATTGATCACCATGCATGGATTATGCTAGCACACTTGTAGCTTCTGCCATTCTGATTCTGTCCTCCTTTAACCTGCTGTCCTATTATTGGAGATAATGTTCAACCTAAAATGCATAAGCTCTACCTGCTGTTGTGCTCTCATGTTTAGCATACTATAAACATGAATATTTCCCATAGAAACAAATAGTTTAACTGATCTCATTTTAATCTCTGTTGGGTGCAGCTGGTCCCAGCTCTTGGAAAACCTCCCTCTACCAAATGTAAGGAAGCATAGTTAGTCAATCATTTTAACTTGAAAACTCTCTAATGTAATAATTCCTCTGCACTCCAGAAGATAAATATTAACTGGATCATATCATATTTTTCTCTTTGATATCTACTTTGCAGATAAAATGGATTTGCCCAACTGCACCCACTCGTTCAGTGGCTAAATTTGGTGGATTTTCTTGCACTGCATGTATGTGTGATTTCTTTTTTCCTCCTTTTGTGGCAAGTAGCAGATCATACTTACTAGTTCTTTCTTTTTTATAAATTAAAAAGTGATCACAATGCTTTGACTCTGGGAAAGATCATTTACATTGATTGTGTTGACATCAGGGTTTGATGCGGGAGAGCTTTTGGAAGACAGTCCAGATGATTGGGAGGGTTTAGACGCATCAGCAGCACATATTGCAAACTTGTTGTCAGCAGAGCCAGCTGATGGTAATTTTTCAAGCCTAAATTATCAAATCAGAAAAGAGAAAAGATTACCTTTGGAAAAGCTGAACATAACAGACTGAGGCTGAGTCGGTTTAAAATCCCATATTTAAATTCACTTTATGCTATTACTATATATTTGGTTTATACAATATATAGGATATCAACTCTTGAGGTTATAATCTGGCTCCACTGGTACAAATATGATAAATTTCCACATTACAAATTGAATTTTGTTGGTTAAATTTGGTGCTGAAGTTCTGTAGTATGGTGCCAGCTGATATAACAAGCTTGCTAACATATACTGGTTTCATTTAATTAGTTAAAATTGGTATTGGAGGCTTCAGCATGGGTGCCGCAATGGCATTTTATTCTGCAACTTGCTGTGCTCTGGGCCGATATGGCAATGGCAATCCATATCTTGTCAACCTAAAGGCGGTTGTTGGACTGAGTGGTTGGCTTCCTGGTTCAAGGTATTTACCTCATTCTGAATTCATTTTCCCAGCAGGCCCATGAAAGTGTCCTTATTTATGTTTTGCCAAAATGTGTGCCTATTGGGAGAGATCATGATATTGTCTTTTCGAAGGATCTAATTTAGTGGATTTATCAAACATATTCTGTCTTTTTTTCTATCCAGAATAAACACCATCATCTGATAAGTGACATCTATTAAATTCTACAAAATAATCCCATAGTTGCCCATTAAAGGTTACCATCTTGCAGGGGTCTAAGGAACAAAATAGAAGGGTCACATGAGGCTGCAAGACGCGCTGCATCATTGCCAATTTTGCTCCTTCATGGAACTTGTATGTCTCTCTTGTGCAGCCATGCCATACCTTATTTTTAAAATATTTCTGAATATCTCAAACAGTACATAAATATTTCTTTCAACTCAAACATAGGTAATGGCAGCTGGTGATTGCATTAAAATGCTTCTGTGAGTTTCTTGATCAACTTTTAAAAAAAAAAGGATGTCATTGAACATGGAACCTTTTTCTAGAAGTTGTTTTGGTCATCTAATTTTGGAATGAAAACAAAAAATAGAAACTGGAAGCCTAGCCAAAGAATACCTAGTGAAGTAACCATCTTATAATCCTGTTGCAGGTGATGAAGTTGTCCCATATAAACATGGAGAGAATTCTGCCCGTTCCTTGAGTATGGCAGGATTCCGACTCCTTACATTCAAATCCTATGAGGGGTAACAAGCTTTTCTTCTAATTTGCAAGCATTCCTCAATTAACAGATGGAATTTTACCCAATCATCTAAGGGGTTTGGTTTGGCTGTGCAGGCTTGGTCATTTTACTGTTCCTAAGGAAATGGATGAGGTCTGCAATTGGCTTACTACAAGGCTGGGGCTTGAGGGGTCCTGTGCATAATTGTGGCAAGGAATAAATTTCTAGTTGTGAAGCTAGTGGAGGATGAAGAGTAAAACAATAATGGGGGAGGAGAAAAATTACATGCCTACAAGTAGTCAAGTAGGCGGCTAACATCATGGGTTGTGAGATACGGGGTAAAATATTGTAAACTTTACTAGATCCCTTCTAGTATATTTGTCCATTCCTAAAATAAAATTTTGTATGCTTTTTAAATTTTGGAATGTAGAAGCAGGTGGTTTTGGATCTAGTGAGTTGATCATGTATTTCAGAGCAGTACGGTGTTTATATCAATATCTAGTGGATTTGGGTTCTAGCTTTATAATCCCTGTCTCTTTTAGCAGCATCTCTGTTCTTTTGCTCTCTGGTTTTAAAGTCAGTTTATATTGTCCATGGCAACTTATTAAAAGGATGGATTTTGTCATGGTCTTGAATGGAAGGTGGTAAATGAATTTGATGGGGAAAGTAGATGCACTGACACTAGGGTTTTTACTTGATGAATGTGCTCCGGTTAACCCTAGAAAATCCAGATTCCATTACCATTCAGAGGTCAAGAAGTATGCTGGAAAACAATCCAATGGTCGAGTGGGAACATCATTCCTAATATTAAACATAAAAGCAAATTCATTCTTTCTTGATGTGTGTGGGTTACGTACGGGGGAGTAACCCTTGCCCTTAATTTTTTTTAAATCTCTCCTCCCGGGTAATCTTCAAAAATGAAAAATGAAATGAAATGAAACGAAAATCTTAACCCAGCATTTTAGAACTTCCATATTGAAGTTAAAACCGAAACCCCCCACATAAAAGCATCAAATTCCCCCATAACCTAATACCGTCAAGACAAAACCCTACTTTAAGCCCTCAAACTTATCCTAGATTCTTAATTAAAACCCTAAACTTCTATTGAAATGTATAAGCTCTTACACTCAGTGATTTGAACAATTTAATTGTCTTTTTTACAGCAAACTTAATACTCTTGTATGCCTCATTTATGTAGATAAAATCAATATTCACCACTTAGGCAATGACATGTCCATAATTTATCTATATAAGTAAGGTGGAAACGAGATCTAAGTTCACTATAAAAAAGATGATTAACTTGTCCAAATTGCCAAGTTTATGGGTTTATTTGTTTTAATGAAAGTTTAGGGGTTTAATCAATAATTTGAGATACGTTTGGGGGCTTAATGTAGGGTTTTGCCTATCTAAACTCCACAAAGAGAGATTAACAAACATAGAATTTTTCACCCAATTAGCCTTACTCACATTGCTGTGAAAGCCTAAAAAAGTGAAAATTGAAATGAGGACTAAAGGAGGAAAATGAAAACTTTTGCTTCCATTTCCTCTCTTTCCCATTAACCAAACATGGGATCAAAGCGACAAAGAAAAATTGGAAATTGTACCCAAAAAAAAAAATAATATCAACAACATTGGAAAAGCCTCAATTGTACAGTTGGAGATGAAGCAGGCAATGCTGATATAGGAATCCAATCCCCTTCAAGGAAATCCATCTTCTCTTGGGTGTGGATACTTACTACCTATTCTCAACATTTCTTGTTGGTTTTGTGAAACTTGCTTTTGAATCTGGGAATCAAGCAGGAATGCTTGTCTCTTCCTTTTTATTACTATATGGGCTGAGTTGGAGCACCTATGTCGGTTATTTAGATTGTATGGGTTAGATCGTGCAAAATCTTGTGAAAAGGATGGGCAGGATCATAAAACCCAATTAAATTGATTTTTTTTTCCTTTATTTCATTGAACCAGTGGGATTTTCCTATTATCATTGGATCCTCTCCACAAGAACTCTTGGTTTGCTCTATCGATTTTTGAACATATAGTAGCAAGAAACTTGGTAGTTTGCTTGGCATGCTTAGCAATTGTGGATGATACCTATTGGATGAGGACATGTCGCCCAGCTAGAGACAACTGTTTGGCTTTCTAGTTAGATAGTTTAGCTTTAACTTGTGTTGGGGAATAGGCCCAACATCCACAATAAGTCCTATCATCAGGCCTATTTGCATATACAGGTTTGCCTAATCAAGGATAATCCAAAAATAACTCAAAATGTAGACACGCTCACCAAAATGCGCACACTTGATTGGTGACACCTAAATTGACCAGATGACTACACGTGGAATATCCTATCATTAATAGAGGCTATAAATACCTTTATCTACCCCATGCAAGGTAATAACTTCTTTATGCTTTTTTCTTTGCAATTACTTTTCTTGAGAGTTTCTTTTTCTAAATTATAGAATATTACTAATTTGAGCGTCGGAGTATCTTCTCCAAGGAAACATTCTTGGGGTTTTCAAGTGTTGAAGTGGTTCATGATCTCTATAGGAGAGGTTCGTGAAGCTGTCCAAACAACTTAAAAAATCAAATCTTGATATATAGCTTTGGATACTTGTTTGGAGTGTAAGGAAAACCCCTAGATATTGTCCAAGGTCACCTGTGGGCTCTGTTCCTGTTATTTTCATAATTTCCATGGCTACTTCTTGGTTTGTATTGGGTGAGAAGAAAATGTTTGATTTGCTTGCACTCACCCTATGCCCTAACATGCCACAAAAAATAGATTAGCATTCCATTAGAGTGTTAACATTGTCAACCATAGCTTTGCTAAAAAACACAAAATCTTTAATGAAAGAAATATGATAAATTGAAGGTCTTCCTCTTGTAAATCGAAATGGTGTCAACTTCTTATTTTGATTAGCACAATCTATGATTTGAGATAACCTATTAAGACAAAATACAAACAAATATGGTGAAAGGGAGTCACCTTATCTCAAACCTTTCATTGAGAGAAAGGATTCAATTTTCTCCCCATTGCATAATAAAAAAATATTTAGAATCAAATATGCAAAACATAATAAGTAATAACAGAAATCCAACTTTTAGGAAACCCAACATAATAGAAAACCTGTTTTAAAAAACTCCAATCAACTCAATCATAGGCTTTTTTTAAGTTTATTTTCAATGCAAAATGTACAAGAGTTTTTTGTTTTACAGTCTAAACTATATAATATTAGCCATTAGGTGGGGGGCAGCCCTAATATTAGGGTTCTACCCCTTATCCACTGATAAGTGTTGTGTAGTTTAGATTTTGACTACACAACACTTTTTTTGATTGCATAATTGTGTAATTTGGGTTGCTTACTAATGTTACTCTGAGGGGCTCAATTGACATGAGATTAATTAGAGGGATTGATTGCATCAAGTGACTTAGTTTAGGGGTATCTTTGGGGTTATTCAATTGTGGTATTCATCATCAAAACCCTACACAAAACCTCTGCAATTCTTCCTTTCTCCCCACTTCCCTTTGCTTTCCGACCCGCGGACGCCATGAACTACTTCTTCCAGAACCTCCTAGGCGCCCCGTATCGCGGCGGCGACGCCATCATCATACAGAATAAACTCCTGGTATCCCCGGTCGGTAACCGCGTCTCCGTCACAGACCTTAACAAATTCGAAACCATAACGCTCCCCATCCAGTCTTCTTCCAATATCTGTCACCTCGCGGCCTCTCACGATGGTACATTCCTCCTCACTGTCGACGAGAACAAGCGCTGCCTCTTCATCAATCTCCCGCGGCGTGTCGTCCTTCATCGAATGACGTTCAAGCATCCCGTACACGCAGTCAAATTCAGTCCAAACGGAAAATATATTGCAGTCGCCGCCGGTAAGTTGCTTCAAATCTGGAGATCCCCAGGTTTCAAGCGTGAGGTTTTCGCATTTGAATTGGTTAGGACTTTTGCTGATTGCAATGATAAGATAGTAGCTATTGATTGGGATACCGAATCGAAATATTTGCTTGTTGGGTCGAAAGATTTGACTGCGAGATTGTTTTTTGTGAATAAAGTATGGGGTGATTATAAAAAGCCGTTTTTATTTCTGGGTCATAGAGATACAGTTGTGGGTTGTTTTTTTGGTGTGGATAAGAAGAGTAATAAGGTCAATAAGGCTTATACCATTACCCGTGATTGTTATCTCTTCAGTTGGGGGTACAATGAAAATGATGATAAACTGGACAAATTAGGAGGGGAGAGTCCGGAGCCGTCTTCTCAAGGGACATCAGAGAGGGATGGGGAAGAAAGGGGAGAGATTGTGAAGAAGAGGAAGGAGTTCGATGGAAAAGAAGATAATTCAGGAGAAGATGGGCGGTATTTGCATCAAGGAAAATGGGAGTTGTTGAGGAAAGATGGGTTTATGCAGGCACCAGCAAAATTGACTGCCTGTGATTATCATAGAGGTCTTGATCTTGTGGTCGTGGGTTTTTCCAATGGGGTTTTTGGGCTGTACCAGATGCCTGATTTTGTGTGCATCCATTTACTGTCAATATCAAGGGAGAAAATTACAACAGCAGTGTTTAATGAACTTGGGAATTGGTTGACCTTTGGTTGTGCAAAGTTGGGGCAGTTGTTAGTATGGGAATGGCGGTCAGAAAGTTATATATTGAAGCAGCAAGGGCATTACTTTGATGTGAACTGTCTGGCTTACTCACCAGATTCACAGCTTCTGGCTACTGGAGCGGATGATAATAAAGTTAAGGTAAGTGAATCTTGCAAAATGTTTTAATGCTGTACTGTGGTTAATAAAGGGTAGCATGTTATTACTTCACACCAATTTCCATTTCCACTTAAAGCCAAAGAATCGGGCAGTGTAATTCTTGCCACTGGTTCAGTTTGTGAACATATTTGAGACTCCTTAACTGTGTCTATCTGCCTGTAGATCAAACTGCCTATGTAATAGCCAAGGCTTTAAGTTGCCTCATGGCTAGTTTCTATTTTCTATAGTTCCTGTTTAAGTTGCAACTCATACACATAACAAACCTTTTGGTAGCACCTTCTTCCATATCTTTTTATCATGTTCTGCAAATCAGGAGTATGAAGACAAGTAAAATCTGCTGCTAGGAATTTTGTGCAAACATAAACTATTTTTCTGTTACACACACAATGATCCTGAAAGTTAACTTTCTGCATGTTCTATATCATTATGCGCTAAATGTCCTGCTTCTAGTTGCCTTCTCTCCTGAAAGTTTACAGTTCAATGCTTGTTGAATTTATTGTTATAGGTTTGGACGGTTTCATCTGGCTTTTGCTTTGTAACATTCACCGAGCACACTAATGCTGTTACTGCTCTCCATTTTATGGCTAACAACAATTGCCTCTTAAGTGCATCTCTGGATGGGACTGTCCGTGCATGGGATCTGTTACGTTATCGAAATTTTAGGACATTTACCTCCCCTACTTCTAGGCAGTTTGTTTCTTTGGCAGCAGATCAAAGTGGTGAAGTGATTTGTGCAGGAACTCTAGATTCGTTTGAGGTAGTTGTTTATAGCTGGTGGCTTTTTATGCTAGTTCTCATCATAATAATTTTCCTCATGTTTCGCAAATTTTTATATCTTAGATCTTTGTTTGGTCAATGAAGACGGGCCGTTTATTGGACATTCTAAGTGGTCATGAAGGTCCTGTACACGGATTAATGTTCTCTCCTACAAATGTGAGTTAACATTTTTTATTCTATAGTGTTGGCCAAATATGCTTTAGTCATGATTTTATCTTTTTAAGACTTTTAAGTTGTCTTTTATAGACATTGATTGCCAACCATTTCCCTTATTTCATTATTTAGACTGAGCATGATATCTATCTCTAACTTTTATAACTCTACACAGCGTGAATTGCAGGCATTTTTTGTTCTTTTCTGGTTAAAACCTTCTGTGTTTCTTATGGATTTATGAAATGTTGTGTTGTCTATGCAGGCAATCCTAGCTTCATCATCATGGGACAAAACTGTTCGGTTGTGGGATGTATTTGAAGGAAAAGGTGCTGTTGAAACGTTTCCTCACATGCATGATGTTTTGACTGTTGTTTATCGTCCAGATGGAAAGCAATTAGCTTGCAGCACATTAGATGGCCAAATTCATTTCTGGGATCCTCTTGATGGTTTGTTAATGTACACGATTGAGGGCCGCAGAGATATTGCTGGAGGACGTCTCATGACTGATCGTAGATCTGCTGCTAAGTCAAGTTTGGGGAAGTGCTTCACAACCTTATGCTACTCTGCTGATGGAAGTTACATCCTAGCTGGAGGAAGTAGCAGATACATTTGTATGTATGATGTTGCTGATCAGGTTAGTTTGAATGCATTTCTGTCTATTAAAATAACTTTTGGCTTAACTTTATGATATCTATGCCCTTTTCTTTTCATGAAAATTGTTGATGTTGTTCTGTCTATTATTCAAGATTTCTTATACTTTTGTGTATCTGATATGAGAAGGGGATGGTGAAAGTTAAATGGAAAAATCATTGGGAAGTGTGTGCAATGGTTTTATTCTTGCCACCTAAAAGAGAAATGGCTTTGTTCGCAGGCCAAAAGGAAAAAGGAAATGGCTCTCTTGTCACTGTTGCTTGTTCAGTTTGTTTTCATGTTTTGGGTGCATTTGATGGCTATGACATTTGCATTGACTCTGTTTTTTTAATTATATTTAAAGCAATGAAAATTCCAGCATGCTACCATCGTAGGGTTACAGTCACATTTTTGTACATATCTTGCAAATTATAGTCATTTTTGAGCCTTGGTCACAAAATATTTGTTGCTAAAGAGGCAATAACCATAAACCTAGTTAAGATATACTGATCAAGGGGCTACAGATTTTTCCATGTTTTCCATAGGGAAAAATAGAAAACTCTATATTGAGCCAAGGAGGGAATTAGGACTGTCATTTTGCTTCATTGTTCATGACTTGAACTTGCACATTTCTACACTCTTTCTACACCTTTCTCTCCATTCTTAAGCTAGTGGTAGTGGCTAGTACATACTTTTTAGGTTTTTTTTTCTATTATGTCTTATGATATGATTCTCTACACCTTTTTCTAACCAAACTTTGATGATATGTTTTATTTAATTATGCATTTGATTGTGCACAGATTCTGCTACGACGATTTCAAGTAACCCACAATCTCTCTTTAGATGGAGTTCTTGATTTCTTAAACTCAAAGAATATGACAGAAGCTGGTCCATTAGATTTAATTGATGATGATAACAGTGATGTAGAAGAAGGTGTTGACAATCAAACAAGAGGAAATACTGGTTATGATTTACCAGGTTCTATGGCTAATCATGGTAGACCTACTGTTCGAACAAAATGCCTAAGAATTGCTCCAACTGGTAGGAGTTTTGCAGCAGCAACAACAGAGGGTGTTCTAGTTTATTCAATTGATGAATCATTCATCTTCGATCCCACTGATCTTGACATAGATGTTACACCAGAGGTACTTATCCATTTCTGCTGAGTCTGAAAATCTACCAATGATGTTGCTCTTGATTTTCTAACAAGGGAATTAATTAGTGTGAAACAATGCTTTGCTGATTGAGAGCTATATTTCCCTGTACTGATTGGAAGTGTTTTTCTTTATTCCTTTTTTATTTTTGGCATAGGCTGTTGACGCAGCCCTTAGTATGGATCAACCCAGCAGGGCTTTGATTCTTAGTCTGCGATTAAATGAGGATGCTCTGATAAAAAGGTGTATTTTCTCAGTCAATCCAATAGATATTCGAGCAGTTGCTTTGTCAGTACCTCATAGATACTTGAAAAGGTTGATAGAAGCCTTGGCAGATCTTCTGGAAAATTGTCCACAGTTGGAGTTTGTACTTAATTGGTGTCAGGTACTTTCTCATAATTATCAGCTCGTAAACACTTTTTAAGTTTATTTTAATGAAAAGTCTGGTGCCATCTGGACTGTCCTAGACTGCACTACATTAACCATTGGATGGGGGGTTGGGCCCCCTGATATTGTGGCCCTCCAACCCATCCAATGGTTCGTGTTTTACAGTCCGGTGCTGTCTGGACTGTAAAACAGGGTTCCCTTATTTTAATATTATGCAAAATAAGATTGGTTGCATATTGATCATTTGCTCCTGGTTTGGGTTGATTTTCTATGCAGGAACTATGCAATGCCCATGGTAACCATATTTTACAGAATTATAGAGCTTTTCTTACTGCTTCAAAATCCTTAAATAAGGCTTTGACAAGAACCCACCAGGATTTGGCAGATCCTTGTTCGTCCAATGAATATACACTTCGATATATATGCTCTTTTGGCGCCAAGAAATGAGTCTAGACTGGTATCTTAAAATCACTGGATGAGGATTTTGGTGGAACTTGCAGAGAAAGAATATATGATCAGCTGTCAGATTGTTCTATTGCACAACATTAACTCATGGCACAGCATTGACTCGCTGATGACTATCATCTTAGACAAGATCCCTTGTTACCGCCAATGGAGTAAAAGAAGCACCGTCGTAATGTTCAGGAAACAATTCCTGAATTCCTGATCAGTAAAATAACGTTGTTATAAATTTTCTAATTGTCAGAATTTGCATGCAACAGCTGTTCCTGTTATTTGACATAGCAAGGTCGTATAACTCTTCAGTGAAGTCATCTGAAACAATTTTGTTAGGGGAAAATGCCAATCTACCTTGTACTGATAGCATCGTATGCTAATTTATTGTTTGTTATTTGTCTGTTTGGACCCTCCAGGTTGATGGAAATTTTGAGTTTGTGAGATTATTTACCAAGAAATATTATGTTATTTATCTGTTTAAACTGATGTTAGAGCAATCATTCTTACAGGCTACAGCTCTCCAAACATCTTCCATGACGTAACCTTGCACTTCTCTGCAGGCTATGTTACGCATTCCTGTCTAGAAACAATCCTGTCTTGAAACAAGGTGTAGTTCAGCTAAATTTTCTTGGTTATTTTGCTTAGTTCATAATTAGTTTACATTGTTGTATAAGTATACAAAATATCCGTAAAAAGCAAAGCAGGCAAAGCAGCTTGGTACAAAAGTTTTCAGCTTAAAATTTCGAGAGCAACGAATACTAATGCCAAATGGGACGAAGTTGATAGGTTTTAATGTCTTGAGAGTT